TGACTGCGATGGTTTGGCCCCTGGCCTTTTCCAGGTCTTAGGGGAAAGCGGGATAAAATAGAGACTGTGAGAAATACCTGAGATTTGTACTAGTAGATGTTGAGTGTAAAGGTAGAAAACAGGCGCCACCTCCAATGCGCTTGACCATGACATATGTCATAGAGGTCATCCTTCTAAATGACTTTCTAAAGATTGCAGCTGTCGCTTATTGTTTATTAAAAAGTTATGAACAAAAGAACTTACATAAAATGAGTAATTTTTGGACACCGTATATATAAAAACATCAAATTTATTGGCTAGGAAGCCTAAGTCTGCCACTGCCCTAAGTAACATTCAAAAGGTTTTAACTGGCGCTCATTGTTTGTTAAAAAGTTATTCACAAAAAAAGATACATTAATATGAACACAGAGTATATGAAATGTAGTACGTAAACAGTGTCTGTCCCTAGCAGTGTAACTAGTGGGCTACGACCTCCTGCAGCACGGCGGGAGGCAACTCTATTGTACTTAAGCTAAAGAGTGAGAATTTTTCACAAAAGACTAGGTCCCCTTCGCGGTGTGGGGGGTCGTAGTCCCCCAGTTACACGGCTAGGGACAGGCACCTTTTTTATTTTTATTATTTTCTATTTATAAAACTTTAAATATAATAGAAACACACCTAGAAATATAATAGGAACACACGCACACACCGCGAGCCCGCCCGGGTGGGCAGGCAAGCGTGTTTGCTGGCGAGCAGTGTGTGTGTAGGAGGCATCTTCCTAGCGTACAGATTCGATGTTTCTGTATATACGTTATCCAAAAATTACATTTATTTAATGCAACTCCTTTTATTAATAACTTATTAACAAACAACGAGCAGACGGTTAAAACCTTTTGCTTGTTATTCAGAGCCATGTCCTTAACAACATATGTCAAGCCCAGGCTGATCAGAGGTGGCGCCTGTTTTCTATTACCACATCTCCTCCCCAAGGTTCCGCACTCCGGTTGATATAGAGGAGACGAGAAAGTGGACACGGAGGCCGCGGAGAGCCTGCACACCCGTAGGGCTTGCTAGAGACCGGCAAGTCTCGTCCAGGCGTCCCCCTTACCCGGGGGATTACGGCGCCTCACATTAGTAAGACCATCGATAATTGACCGTCTGTCCAGAGAGCGCTTTCTGAGATTCGGGTGCCTTGGACACGGTGGAGTCCATGAAATTCCCCCTGGGATGCCGAATGGTCTCAGCCTAGGCATCACAGGAGTGACAGAGACCACGAGGTGATACCTCAGTACTGAAAGTAGTCACCAAAACCTGCATGGAGTTAAGGGGGTAGGAATATTACCATCTGGGTGCTTTCCTGAAGAAAGTGCGCAGGACGAGGACACATGCAAAGTCCGAAGCTGAAAAATCGGCCGAGGGCTCGGGTTAAAGGGGGGGTTTATTTGGCCTGTTCCCGGGTGTGAGTGAGCTTTAATACTCCTCCTCAGACGGAGAATAAGCTATCCCTGTTAGACTAGAACCCCGCGAGAGGTATAAAACGCTGGATGCTCTCGCCATGTCTGAGAGAGAAGAGTGGAGTCCCGGTTGTGGTTTGCAGTAGCTTAAATCACATTGTAAACAATGATCAGGCAACGCTGGACATTAAAAAGTGACGATCGCGGCTGATGAGTCGCCTGGCTCTCCCAGAGGCGGGTTAACCTCAAAGTTTCGGGTGCCGGTGATAGTCGGCAACGAAGGGCACGCCGGTGATACGTTGTGGCAACGTCGGGGGTCCACGCCCTTAATTTGTTAGGCCGATTTGGATGAGGGTTCCTTAGGGCTATTCAGAAACGCGCGAACTGCAAGGCGCTCAATGGGGGTGCGAGTTGGTATATGGCGCGCCTCCTGGAATGAATGCGATGATGTGTGATAGCCCATCAGCACTCTGCGTTCGGGGTTCACCCTGGTCGCAAGGGACGTAGGGGTTACCCACTGGGAAAGCGTGCTCTTTCAACTTAGCGTGATAATCAGCAGGATGTTATCACTATAATCACTAATTTCTTTCTAAGTGCCGGCTCGGCTGCAAATGTGTGGGATTGTAGCACTTGGGGCTGGCCGGTGGGCCTCTCCTTGCTGCTGCGGCCCTGCGTGGTTTTGATAAGTGGGATACCACACCCAGGAGAGCTGGCTGCGTCGTTGTTCTATTAGTCGTAACGTAGTTTCGGCTGGGGGAAGCGGCAAGGCTGGCTTTAAAAAAGGGCGGGTTGGTTGCTTGCGTGTGCGATATCGACCGTGCTCTCAGGCAACCTCTCTCGCAACACGCAGGGGAAAGGGCACATGAGTCACAATTCTCAGTAATTCATTCAGAGAATGGGATATCAGAGTAGGCTCTGCTTATTTGACGCCGATAAATGCTAAGCAACCTGCAAAATTACCGCTCCTTCCGGTTCCTATGTCTGTAACGAATTTGAAGCCACTGTTCTCATTGGCTGTTCCAATGAAGGCCGTTGTACACCGTCACAACCGGACGCGTCTCCAGCTGGTGGATAGGTGAACACCAAACAGATATTGTGAGTACCGGTGAATAACTCTTCGGGAGAATAAACCAGCGCGGATCAAATCGTGGGGAGAGCTTTGAAGGATGCATGAAAGCACATGTGGAAAGAATATATCACAAATCATGCATCCGAGGAAGCTTTTTTGTGTGAGTGGGTGCCGCCCAGTGAGCATCCCATTCCTCGGGCATCCGGGCCCGTGAATCCTTAGGTGGAATCGGAATAAGGAAGGACATCCCGATAAAAAAACAGCACATAACATATATACAATTACATATACACAATTACAAACAAACAACACACCTACACGCATTTACATTACACTCACACGTCTCCAAAAAACGCTACCTCGGGTCCTGAAAGTGGGGATCCTTGATTGGCGATTCCGCGTCGCGTAGAGGGTACAGATAAAAACCGAGGTTGGAGATTCCTTTACCGCCGGACAATAGAGGAGCCTACTCGCACCTAACCAGCGAAATGGGGGCTGCTCTACCAACCGGTATAATCTCGAGGATACGGATACTGCTGTTTGGTGAACAGATTGAGGATCGTACCCGTTATCTTGGGAAGCTCTCCCAAAGCCACTGCGTGTAGTGAGCGGTTGCTTTGGTTCCCTTTGGAAGGAGTCCCTGGATAGAAGGGACGCACACACACGTATTACACATATATAACATGACAAACACACGGAAAAAGTAAAAGTTGTTATTAATAAAAATGAAAAATATCGAAAAATGTAGAAAAACGTGTAAAAGTGTCAACGCCGATGACGGGGAATTCGACTCCAATTTAAAGAAAGATACAAGACGTGAAGGTGGCGTCAATGGTCACCTTGGCCTCTTCGATAAAAAAAGGTGGACCTGTGTAGCCCAGGGGCTTCACGCATTGTGAGTTTCTATTGAATGTAGAAGATATCGCCGACTCCATCAAGGAGTGTCTGGTGGACCTTCCGGACAAAATGCCGGATCCTCGGAAGAAGCGAGCGAGTTGTGTTCTGGTTCCGCCTGAACGGTATCCAGGCGAACTTGACGCAGCTTGTAGCGGTGACGGAGGAGGGCGTGAGGGTCCAGGTCCGCTGAAAAGCCCGCGTAGGCACGTGGGTCTGCGAGGCAGAGAAGAGGGCGCTGCTACACCCAGTGGAAGCTCCAGGTCGTCATTGACGGTCTAGAGAAAGAAAGTGACATCCTGAGGAAGGAGAAGGAAGTCTACAGGTTTTTGAGGGATTTTGGCGAGGGTATGAAAGGGTGAGAGAGAAAGTTCAACTTCTCACCCGAAAAGAAAATCGGGGTCTCCGATCGACGTCCCCGATCTGGATCGCCGCTCTCAGTTGTAAGGGGACGTGTTCGGTCGTAGCGTCGCCGAGGAGCGCAGAGCCTACGTCACCCCAGATGACCAGGAGTGGAACGCGGTGGGCCTTAAAAAGAAAAAGGGGAACAGGCGCAAGACCAGGAGCGCGACTCCGGCCGTGGAAGCGGCCCTTCCGGCAGCGCTTCGTTGATTGCGTCGGCGTACACGACCGTCTGTGGTGCCCAACACAGCGGCCGTGGTGGAAAGAGGGCTCTCTTACGATGAGATCTGCATAAAGCATTTCCCCTGAGTTAACAAAAAAAAAAAGAGAGAGAAGTCTTTACAAGCGAGAGCGCGACCGAACGCGGGCGGTCGCTGCGGGATTTGCAACGACTGTAATTTGAATTTGCTGCGCCACTTGCAGCAACGTGAGATGATTTCTTTGCGCGACTTGCAGTAGAAATCGAGATTTTGCGATTAACTGCGGAATTATACACGTTCTTGTGACGTCCGAATTCGAACTGTATTCTGATGTGGACTAGCCAGACTTTATTGCTAGCAACGGCTGTAACGTGTGAGCTTTTTTCTCGATTCGTGTTAACCGCGGAATCGCTGGCTCGCGCTTACCGGATCTGTTCTGTGTTAGGTTTTTTAGTCTAATACGGATAAGTTTGTTTCGCGATACGATACACGTTCACGCTCGCGAACCAAAATTATATGTCGCTCACGTGCTCGAAATCTTCTAGAATCTTCTCCATTGTGCTTTTTCCTCGATAGATAAGTGCCTCACACCAAGATCACTCACCTAGCGCGTGACCTCGTGATTTAGAAGATTCCGAGAGGAATTTTGTTCAATTCCGAACTAAAAACATAATTTATTCAAATAAATAAAATTAAATTGTAAATATTAATATTATAAAATTATGTCGCAGGACAAATAAATATTGTAGATCATTAATTTTTTAATCAACAATAAACAATCAACGATATTTGTAAAAATGATATTTATTAAAAATCTCGAAAACAAGCAAACACACATTTTGGTTATATATGGATCTTTACTTTCTCCCAATACCGTTCTGTTTAATATACAGTTGTACAATACAAATGTACAATTTCTTATAAGTGTACATTCTTTCGAGCATTAACATGCAATTCAAAATTATAGCGCAGCATATATATGCATGAAAATGTTACTTCTACATTAGATGTGTGTTTTTAGTGTCACAATTTTTTATTGGTGTTAATCTCAGGCCTTTAGATAACATTTGAGCTTCAAGGTCGCGATCTTCATCTTCATATCTGAAATGAAAATAAATAAATGTTAATATAAGAAAAACTCAACAAAATTAGCGTATAATTATGACATGGTTCATTAAAATTGTGGAATAGTTATGTTCACAATCTATATGTGGTTTATGTAACCTATAGGTAGTGATGGGATATTGGAAGGATCTTTCGCGTATTGAACAAACGCTGTGACAGTGTCAATGCCATACCTATTTTAAGATGTCGTAAAGTCCCTGGCCTGAATAAAAATATAAAAAAATTGTAGGAAGGAAAAGGTTTTCATAAAAGGAACAGAATATTATTCATATACAATAAACTTATTATTTTATTTTGTAACATCTGCAGCCGGTTTATCAGACGATTTATCAATATTTTCTGCAAGATAAAAGACACTGCAGAAAACTTTATCAGTATTCAGTATTAACTTACGTCAGTATTAATTTTACATTTATCATATTATTTATTGTTTACTACTAAACATAATCTAGCCTTAGCTACTCGCGGAAGAAACGCGGCAACTTGCAGCAAACGAACGGTCAGATATTCTTCATGGAAACCTCTATAGACTCTTTATGCTGTGTCTAAGTATTATTGAAAATTGTTTACGTCGAGCTATATGTCATTTTACGCATTATTAAAAGAGCTCCTGTTGTGGAGAAATTCTTTCAATATCTCATCACTACCTATAGGTTATATACTGATCATATACTATACTTATTAAATATGCAATTTGAAAAATAAACATTATTATATAGAACGGAAGAAATAAAATGTTATAGACCACAATATCCTGAAAGAAATACATCATTCAAAAAAAAAATATTTGAAAAAGGTATAAGATTAGGATACAGTTCCGAAAAGCTCAAACCTCTGATTGGGTTGAATTTGTTAAGAAAGCTTTTTCTTAGCTCCAAAATGAAAATCCCTCAAGGTTTTTTGGCGACAAAACCTCATTCGCCCTCTACCCTTGCTCAAAGTCTAAACAGTTTTCTCACTATATCTTAGAAAATATTGATTTTGGAGAAAAATATCTCAACACAACATAAAAAACACACACACACAGATGGAAAAATGAAGCTTGTGAAACGCTCTACAAGAAAAGTAATTTGCTTTTTTAATGTAAACGCACTTTTTCAAAATAAACCTCATTGTGCGACGAGAAAACGCGCTGCGCATAGGCGATGACAAGCACTTACTTGTTCAACGTCAATAGAATACGCGTGTTGTACGCGTGTTGTGCACGAATGTGAACAACAAATTTCGCGTGTATGTGCGCGTTGTTGCATATTGCCTCGTGTCAGCGTGTGCGGCTTATACCTAGAATGATACTCTTTCTATTATCTGTATTTTTAATATATGAGAGACTTATCAATTTAGTGAGCTAAAAGATTTAAGCAATATTTTGAAATACTTATAATGAAAACCTTGCGTAGGGATCTTTGCTAATCTTACTAGAATCTGTATTTTTAATATATGATAAATTCATCAATTTGGTAAGGCAAAAATTTTAAACAATATTTTGAAGTATTTAAATATGTTTTGAACGGCCCGAGGGTGGAGAGCGGCCGGTTCGTTGTGCGAGATGCGGATAGGTGTCCGCTCGTCGCGTGGAGACCGCGGGCTTCGTCGCTGGCAGTCCGCTATCCAGCGGCCCCGTGAGATGACGTGGGGTGCAAGTAATTCGAGAGGGAGCAATGCACTTGGACACAGTACAATTGGACACGTTGCAAATGGACACGTTGCAAATGGACACGGCATTTGACACACAGTTCAATTGGACACGGTGCGTTTGGACACGAAAGAAAATGCACGTCGTTCAGTTACACACCGTTCATTTGGACACCGTTCAGTTAGACACCGTTTACTTGGACACAGTTCAGTTGGACACCGTTCAATTTTTCTGTGACAGTGCGCATTTTTCTGTGTCCAAGTGAACAGACAAGCAATTCCACGGTGTCCAAGTGAACGGTGTACAAATGAACAGCACGCATCGTTCTGTGTCCAAGTGAACAGTGGGCAACTGAACGGTGTCCAAGTGAACGGTGTCCAAGTGAACGGTGTCCAAATGAACGGTGTCCAAGTGAACGGTGTCCAAGTGAACAGTGAGCATCTTTCTGTGTCCAAGTGAACAGTGGGCACTTGAACTGTGTTCAACTGAACGGTGTCCAAATGAACGGTGTGTAACTGAACGTCGTGCATTTTCTTTCGTGTCCAAAAACAACGGTGCCCAAAAGTTTCGTGTCCAAACGCACCGTGTCCAATTGAACCGTGTGTCAAGTGCCGTGTCCATTTGCACCGTGTCCATTTGCAACGTGTCCAATTGTACTGTGTCCAACTGAATGCCACTCGATTTGAGAAGTTCTTCGGAGACGGGAGTCTCCGGCTCCGTGTTTTGGTGGGTCGCCGACTCGAATAAAGCGAGCCAGGTCAAGCGAAGCGGCGGTGATGCTCCGCTTTCCAACGCCTCCGCGCTAGGAGAAGTCCCCCTTGTCGGAGGAGTAATGAGAATCGTAACGTCGCGCGGGCGACGTAGACTTAGGCGCGAGGGTAACTCGCGTAGTCGCGTATGCGGCGAGTATGGCTTCAGTAGCGGTGAAGAAGCGAACGTAGTTCGCGTGTATATGCTGCGTCCCTGGCAGCGGCTAAGTCCTAAGCGGACGTAAAGGCGTGCGTGGATATGCTGCGTCTCTGAGAGCGGCTAAGTCCTAAGCGGACGTAAAGGCGAGCGTTGCTCGCGTGTATATGCTGCGTCCCTGGCAGCAGAGTTACTGAGTACAACGACGACTCGCACGGAGTCGTGAGCTCGACCGTAATAAGTTCTGTCGGCGTTAATACCCGGTATATGCAATACAGGAGAAGTCGCGAAGAGAGACGTCCACCGCGGTGGAAGCGTCTAGGTAATCCGAAGCGATCGCGCGAAGTCTTCTCTCAATCCTCGATCGTATTGAGAAGGTGGAGATCCGTGGAGTTACCATACACTTTGTAACACAAACGCCAACGTGTCCTCGGACACTTTAGAGGCGATAGCCCTACGTGCAAGCGCACTCTAAAGGGCTGCGAAAACCTAAACCCGAATGCCGGCGTCCCGAATGTCGGTGACACTCTGAAGGCAGCGATGTTCAGTGCAGATATGCACACGTATACCTCTGGCGAAGCAGGTGCCCAACGTGCTTACGCACTCAAGAAGGCGATATGAAGCTAACTAGACTACAAAAGAATACCTCAGCGAAGCAGTGACCAAATGCGCTAACGCATTCAGAAGGCTAAGAGTCGTCGCCCGCGGCGTCTTATATAGGCGCCACACCAAAATTTAACTATGAGCGACAGCCCCGGCTCGGCGCGCTGCCGCGTAGCGGCGGCGGCGTGAAGCCGCGGCGAGCGGTAGTCGCCCGCGCGCGGAACGCGCCTGGTGCACGGCCGCCCGCCGCCCGCTATCCGTGCGGACGACAGCTCCCGTACGGAACAAAATACAAACCTTACGTAGGGGTCTTTACTAATCTTTCCAGAGTTTTTATTTTTAATATATAATAAACTCATCAACTTAATAAGGTGAAAGATTTTAACAATATTTTAAAATACTTAAAATATAAAGTTTGAAATCAACCTTTTCACTGATGTATTAAATATCTATTTTTCAATACAACGGCAAGAAGTATTATATTTATGTTAATAATGCATATAACTTTCCTTGTAGAATGTTTCACAAGTTTTATTTTTTTACATTTTTTCCCAAAATCAATATTTTCGATACTGTGGAGAAATTGTTTAAACTTTGAGCGAGAGTAGGGGACGAATGAGGTTTTGTCGTCAAAAATCCTTTAAGGGTTTTCATTTTAGAGCTTAGGAGAAACTTTCCTGAAAAATTCAACCCAATCGGAAGTTTGGATTTTTCGGCACTTTATTCAATAATGTAATAATATTATTATAACAAAATAATGCTTTCTTAAAAATTATTTTAGACGCATTTCGATTTTCTAAATAAAATTAGATGGTTTTTCAAATATAAACCGATTTCTTTGGTTAATATGCATATAACAGTTGAGGAAAAGTATAGAAAAATGAATCTTAACAAACTACCATATATTTAGATACACAAGGTCTATCAAAAGTGTAAAAACTCTTTCGTATTTTGAAAAATATGCATTTTCCAAAAAAATGTTCTTTGCAAAAGTTATAGCGTTTTTAGTGACGTACTACATAGTAATAATAACATTAGTAATATCTTGAACAGCGTTTTCAAGGTTAGGTCAGATCATATTGATTTTTTTAAATGGAATTCCCTATGTTTTATTTTTGTAGTTTACCTCGTTCCCTACGTTTTATTCTTGTAGCTTACCTCGAGAATTTTCCAAAACACTATAATAACATATTTTTGGATGAGGTATTTTTTTAAGTAATGAAACTTGAATGTTACAGTATCGCTGGCATTAATATTACCCAAGGTGTACCATACGGAGGTTGCTCGGTCGGATTTACACCTCTTTCATGTATATGTATGTGCGCGTGTGTGTATGGGTGGATGGGTATAGTGTGACGGTCTTCATTCCTTATCTGTTTGTAACGATTTTTCGTTCTGGGCGAGATAGTTTTAGTCGGTGCGGTCCAAGATTTAGCTCAATAAATTCGAAACAGTGGTGTATGTAACAATAATTGTGTAGCTATATTCTAATATAATGTCTATGTTGTGGGGAAGTTCCGAAGGGATACTATAATATTAACGGAAATCACACAGAATAGACTAATACGATATTTTATTTCAAGACAAAGGTCGTGTTCGCTCGACCGCTCTGGAGAAACTGACTATCGTCTCCTTGCCCGAATATACATGCGCAGAGACAAAAACGATCGGGCACCGCGCGCAGTTTTCCTACGCGCGGCGTATCTTTTTAGGAGCGCATCTAACGTGCCGTTATCGGCGTCGAGATCGAAGAGACAGAGTTAAGATTTAGTTAGCACGGCACCGGAACTCCTACAATGTACAATTATATACAAATGAAGTTACGCCGCTGGCGTGTAATCGCGTTTTTGCTCCCGTCGGGAGCCTAAGTTGTTGTCGTGTGATCAGCTGCGAGCGTCCTGGCTCGCATACGGGTTGCGGGACGCGGTTGGCGTTGTCTCGCGGTATTCTATTGCCCGTGTTCTGAGTGTGTATACTCGGAGGGCTTTAAACTTCTGTTGATACCGACTCTTAACCGAATTGGTTTCGGGACGGTTGTTGTCGCGGTGTGTCCCGCGACTTGTTGACGCTAGATATGTTAGGCGATGTTGGAGTGGAGATAAGTAGAGGATGTCGACGTCGCGTATCCACCTCGGTCAACGGTTCGGTCTAGGATTTCTAGGAGATTTCGAGCTCTGGTCGGTTGAGCGCCTTAGAGGAGCTCTCCGGCGGATCTCTCTCGATCCCGATTTCGCATCGGCTTTTATACTAATTTTGGCAATCAGCGAAGCTGTTTGTTGACGCGGTTGTTCGGCGCTTTGTCTCCGCGGTTGTTCTGCATAAACAATACTTTCATATTCGTCGTGACGATCCGTTCTTTCTGTGGATCGTCACATGTTCCATAACTTATCATCGCAAATATTCACCTAACCGTGTGGTTGCACATGCATCCATCTATGCACACGCCCGCACGCACGCAGGCACACACCCACACGCACTCACACCCACCCACCCACACACGCACGCACGCAAACACACACATATACGAAAGAGGTGTAAATCTGACTGAGCAATCCGTGATACAACGTGCGTAATGCTAATGCTGACGGTATTATAAGTTGTAAGTTTTATTACTCAAAAAGTATTTAATAAAAGAATATGTTATTACAGTGTGTCGAAAAGCTCTCAAAATATGCTACAAAAATATGCAATAGAAAGTAAAGATTTTCATCTGAAAATATCAACTGACTTTGACCTTGACAACGCTGTTCAAGGTCTTATTAATATTATTATATAATGCATGACTAAAAACGTTATAACTTTTGTGTGGGGAACATTTTTTTGGAAAATATAAATTTTTTCCGAATATTGAAGGATTTCTACATTATTGGAAGACCTTATATAATGTACGTAAAGAGTGTCACATTTTAACTTAGACCATAATATCTCGAAACAATGTATTAAAAAAATTTTTTAAACAAAATTGTAAGGTTTAAAAGGGGTCATTAGATGAGTTATTCGTAATTCGAGTTCGGAATCCAACAAACGGGGTCCAACACTTTGGGCCCAATATGGCCTAAATTGATTATTTTCAATGGATATAGCTTTTTTGCAGACCAGTATTCTAAAACGGAGAAAAATAAAGAAATTTTTAAATAAA